AGCCCCCCCCCCCCCCCCGCTTTACTTTGACTTTGAAGCTAAAGCATTTCATAGCCTAGGTTTATAGTTCTTTCAATGCATAAAGAGCCAATGGAAGTATTTTTGGTGTCAAGATGTTATTTTGACTTAAGTATATTGTAACATCAGAGGGACTTACTTCTAAGGAGGCACATACAGGATTGCAGTACAAAATTGAAAACCTATACCCATTTTCCTGGAGTGAAACTAGTGGATCCTCATAGTAGAGAATATATGTAGATCAGGGTTGAACTATTGGGTTCTTGATGTTCTCTGAGCTTGGTTGTTTTCCTGCAGGCATTTCATTACTAGGCTAGATAATATCATCAGTGCTTGGGAGAGTAAAGTTTGCTGGTTATTTATATATAGTAGTTTGCCCTATCAATCTTGTTTGGGATGTGGTTCCTTCTATGATAGTTCCTTGATTAGGGTATTGTTTCTCCCTGATTCCAATAGAAGAGAATAAATGTAGCTCAGAATTGAAGTGTGGAGTCCTTGGTGCTCTCTGAGCTTGGTTGTTTGCTTGCAGATGTTTCATTACCCAACTAGGTAACATCATCAGTGCACTGATGATCAGGTAACATCATGGTGTTCTCCCTGATCATTTATCTGGTACTATATCCTGCTTATCTGGGTGTTGGCTGCCAAAGAGAATGTATTTTAGGCTATTTGGTTTCTTCCTTGATTTTTGTCTTTCTGTTTCGTATTTGTATCTTTTAATTAGTATGTACATGGATTTTATATAGTGGAATTTGGGGATATTTTCTTTCTTTCTTTCTTTCTTTCTTTCTTTCTTTCTTTCTTTCTTTCTTTCTTTCTTTCTTTCTTTCTTTCTTTCTTTCTTTCTCCCAACTATAGAAGCAAAAGAATTTTGCTGAATTTAGAACTCTCTGAAAATGGAAACATCAAGCAATTCATTAAAAAGCAAAAGCTCTTTATTTAAAAATACATAGGATTTTTTTCTGTGTTTATTTTCTACTTACTCCTTCCTTTTTGGCAGGATTGCCTTAAATGTTTCTTTCAAGTAAAATATGGTATAATGTATTTCAATCCCCAAATATACTGCAGCATTACGTTATGAAAATGTATTTTATTTCTCATAAAATAGCACTAATACATTTTCTTCTACTTTTTGTTCTTTGGAAACTGGTAAGGTTGGAATGTTTTTGTTTCATTTTTAGCAGTATGATCAAAGGTGAAAGCCTGAAACAAAATGTCTTGGGATGTTTTCAAAGACAAGATGGATAGACTTTGTTGGGAATATTTTATAGTCGATTCCAACCTGGCAGGAGGTTGGATTTGATGATCTAGATGGTACCTTTAACTCTATGAGCACAAGCCATACTGCATGTGCATATTGAGATTTTATATGAACTCCAAAAAAGTTTAGTTTTAAGTCTAAATGCACCCAGGCTGGTTGGGAGCTAAGCTAACTCCTTACACTCAACTAATTCTTCAAATTTTGCAAATCATCACTTCCAACATCTGTGATTCTATTTACCCCTGTGAAAATGAGGCTCTTGCAGGAATTCTGTCTCTATGGTCATTCCAGTTCTTACTCTCCTCCAACAATAAAGAGTATGGAAAAGGGATAGAAATGGGTGGAATGGATACAACTCCTCCCAGACTTGTCTATAGTGGCATCAATCCTGATTGCATCACCACAGACACTTTATAGATGTATAAAAATCCCTCCAGACTAACAACTATTTAACACGCAAGTAGTAGAAGGAAGTTACAGACTCCCAGCCTCCTTTGCACCATCTCGGAGGGGTAAAAAACAAAACAAAAAATGGCAGTCTCAGGGTTGACTGATTCATCTGAAGTTATGTGCTGCTAGAACACAAAGACGAACATCACTGGTTACACTTAGTTCCTCCCCACTGTGAGGCGTTACCACAGGGGTCCTCTCTCCTCAAGCCATTATGCAGTGGTAGGAAGCAAACAGGCATAACAATCACTGATAATCGAAGCTGGGCTGCTTTCCACCTTGTTTGGGACAAAATGTTCAAAAGTGATCTCACAAAGTTTCACTGAACTTGAACATAGTTTTTAAATTCCTCCTTAATGATAGAAAATGTGAAAGGTTCTAATGCAAGAGGCAGGTTATGTTATATTTGCCTGTGTTGGTTTTATTGGGTTCTTTTGTTCTGTTATTATATGTCAATCACAATGGTTAGCTCTGACGTAAAGCTAAGGATTAGATCATGCTGTAATATGGTAAAATATTTTACACTAATATAAAGAAGTTATCTCCCATCTACCAGAGATTGCCCACTTCCAAAATTTAGAAAATGAATGAATTGGTTGTGATGGCTATAACAGATCATAAAAGTGAATTAAGAATGGTGAAATTCTTGATAGGCTGTAACAGACTATGCTGCAAAAGGAGATAGTCCCATAAAAGATCTTAAAAGTGAATGGTGGATGAAGATTAAATTCAGTTAATGAAACATTCATCTTATTGCCCTAATGTAATTATTGATCTCTTAAATTTTAAAATACCGACAGTGATTTGCACTCCTTTACCAGTTAATATCCAGCTTTAAAATAAGCAGATTAATGTATTAATTTTATTTTAATCCAGATTTGAAATGAAATAGATTAATCTAAGCAAGCCCCTCCCCCACCCCGCCACCCAATAATTTTCTCATATACTTATCTCTAATGGTTACACATACATGAATGTTGCAGACGGAGGTAGACCAAGATAGAGACAGTGGTGATGTCAGGGATTGATACTATTAGGCAATAAAATCTTGAAATACACAGGAGGGTATTGATCCTATGGGGCTGTATGTGGCCATGGGACCACAAATTATACACCTATGTTTTATACTATTATGTTGACATCCTTAATGATGTAGGCTGGCAAAGGGAAGACAATTATGAATTACTTGCAAACTGTTTCTGAGGGTTTAGAATTTGAAAACAGTGACAATAAGGAAGTACCCTAAGTTATTGGGAGATTACAGGTAGTCCCCAGGGTAAGAACGCCCAGGTTACAGATGACCCACAATTAAGAACGCAGCCATTGTAGCAAAATTTGAGTTAAATGCACAGTTATTTGAGTTAAATATACAATGGTTCAAATTCATTACACAATACTGCTTATACAGTATTATACAATAATACTGTTCCGGCTTACATACAAATTCAATTTAAGGACAGGCCTTGAGAACGAAAGGCCTCATTCTTAAACTGGGGATTACCTGTATTTTTGTGTGGCTTTCATGAGGTGAGTGTGATGGATTTATCACAGCAAGAGTCAGAGTGGTCCTCTTAGTTAACTTACCACAGTTGTCTTCATCTGCGTTATTTCCACAGTCATCAATCCCATTGCAATGAAGAAACTGAGGCAAACACTTTGTGATATTTCCACAAGGGAAATAGCCAAGAGAGCATGTGACACCAAATCCAAAGTCATGATTACTTGAACCAGCATTAATGACTATTTAAAATAAAAATTAGAAAGAAGTTAGAGTTCATTTAAATTATTTTTCTCCTTCAGCATTCAGCATTTCTTTGTTGATGTTCAAACTGTTAAGAGTATCACATTTACCACTGAAATAGTATACATTACTGATTGTTTATTATATTATTTACCATATATTACTTGCAGTGATCCTCCAACTGCAATCTTAGATACATCTACATCTTGCCATCTAAATTAAACACATCAGAACTAAGGTTGGAAATATATTGATGTAACCGGCAAAATAAAATCAAGGGGAAGTAGGAAAATCAAGGGGAAGCAGGAAAAAGTGAAGGGTATTTATGTATATTATCAATCAGATAATTTGCAGATATGTCTTCTGCTTCAGTAGAGGAGAGGGCAACAATTGGCTGTTTCTTACTAATCCAACTGATAACTCCTCCTCCATAATAGAACAGTTTATCTCTAGTAGACTTAGGACATATCTGCACTTACCATTAAAGCTGTTCCTGTTCTGTAAAGATAATAACCACTATGCTGTTTGCTGTGGTTGCTAGCATACTAGCAGTGCTAGTAAAGGGAGGAATACAGATAATCAGAGTGCATGGTAAGCATTGACTCAGTAGAAGGGGTTGCCTTTCCACTGCAAAATAGACAATGAACTACAACAAACAGAAGCTTTATATTCCTAACAAACAGGAGGAGACATAACAAGAAGCAATGTATTCTGAAAGTGGAGGAGAAAAAAACACCCTGAAGTCACTTTGATGGTGAGTGGGCAATTAATACACACCAACCTAATCCATTTCTTCCCTCCAGAAATAGCTGTCTGCCTATTCTGGTGATGGGACAACTGGGCAGTGCAAATAAGAGCTTCACTTGTCTTTGGGATTCCTATAGTTACTAATCTAGGATCATCAATTTCACATCCACAATTCCTTTCAGATACCTTACTCTATCAAGCCCATTATCTTCTGTTTCTGGTTAAGGAACAGGCTTCCATATTCTTCTGTTCCAATCTGCATTATGAGATATCTTTCCCATGGTTTCACCTCTTTGTTTAAGTGGTTTATAATTTCTTGGCTATACTTTGCATCTGTATCATAAAAAATCTGATAATCTAGATACACTATATGTCAATCAGTTTGGTCTAGCGGTTAAGGCACCAGGCTAGAAAGCAGGAGACTGTGAGTTCCAGTTCTGCCTTAGGCATGAAAGCCGACTGGGTGACTTTGGCCAGTCACTCTCTTAGTCCAACTCATCTCACAGGGTTGTTGTTGTGGGGAAGATAGGAGGAGGAAGGAGTATGTTTGCCACCTTGAGTTATTTTTAAAAATAATAAAGGTGAGATTAAAAATAAATCTAAAAAAAATCATTCACCCTTTCATCTGGAATGCATCTTTTTCTTATGTAAGAAAATGTCTAAGAAACATATGCTTTAGTTTTTCACTCCAGCCTCTAGCAGCTTGCCTCAAACCCTAAATGCTCTTTTGCAGCTTACACATCAGCACTACTTTTTCATGGTTGTCACATGTTTATGTCTCCCTTAATGTCTCCTACAGGAAAACTATCTTCACATCCAGATGTTAAACAAGTTTTTTCTTGCTCTAACAACACTGAGAAATGTCCTGATAATAGTTTGCTTCACCATGGATGCAAAGGCGGCATCATCATCATCATCATCATCATCATCATCATCATCATATCTTGACAAGTCTCCCTTGGCAACTAGTCTGGAAAACTAGTTGGATTGGATACCCTCTTGGATACCCTCTTCTGCATTTTCTTTGATGGTGAATAACAATTTAAAATTCCTTTTGGTAGTTCTTTGTTTTGTTTTTGTGAAGAGGTTTGGTCTCTTCTCTTCTCTTCTCTTCTCTTCTTTTCTTTTCTTTTCTTTTCTCTTCTCTTCTCTTCTCTTCTCTTCTCTTCTCTTCTCTTCTC